TTTTTTGATTTATATCATGTCAGAAGCTGCAGTTGTAGCCAATTGTCTCTAAGTCTATACAGAATGTCTAAGAGAGCTTCTTCTTTTGGAGCTTGTCTTACCTTACTGGAATCTACTATATGTACAACTTCTGAATTCAAAAGTGATTCAACAGTTGAAAACTTTTTCTTCTGAATCTTTAGTTTTTAACAGTACCGAAAAATCAGGAGTTCGCATTAAATTATTGAATCTGATTGATAAAGTTTTGCTATTAGTCTTTCAATAAATATCTTTTTGTCGAGAAATTGTATTGCTTTTGCTAGACTAAATTTGTTCTGAAAGGTAAACTTTCGGAGCTTGTATCATCGAACAGTTGCTAATACAAATTGAGTATTTGTACCGATGAAGAGAAGATTCACATATTAAGACTCGTTTACTAGCAAATGCAAGCTTCTGCTCTAAAACAACAAGATTTGACCGTCAAAATAGAAATTATAAGTCTTTCAATGCATCTTTTACATTGATGTGAGTAGAGAAATCGCCTATTTTAAGGGATAGTTTATTTCAAACATTATTTGTCTTTGTTCTTCTTTTGACCATTCTAACAAAACTATACTATTTTTCCTTAGGGTATAATTGAAAATTCCAATGAATTAAACGAACAATTTCGAAACTTTGAAGAAAATAATCAAAAATCCATCCTTATAATTATTATTGACGGTCGTATTAATCAACAACGTATACATATTCCATTTGTTCGACAATTAATTGATAAAACTGATCTTTCTTGTAATAGATCATCCGAAAACCCATCAAAATTTTTCATTATTCTAATGCATTCATCTGGACAAGAACTTAATTATAAATCATGTTTTCCTTCAGTATTTTTACATGATTGGGATTATTGGTTTCTTGATACTTCAACACCAGGTAGTGCATTTCATTTACAAAAAATGTTACAAATTTTTACATCAAAAATTGGTATAATTAATCAAAACGAAACTTTAGATGCTTCTCTTTATGATTTAAATATGCTTTTTGATGATTGTCTATGGAATTTTTGTTCTCGTTTACAAATAAATGTTCATAAATTATCCGAAGATATGTTTCATAATGGAAATGCATACGAATTTTATCAACGTCAAACTACAACATATCGACGTGTACAATGTTTGAAAAATATTTTACAAGATGTTAATGAATTACAAAGATATATTACAACAATTTATCATGAAAATGTTTCAATGAAAGAAGATTATTTACGTAAAAATTGTAATTCAATTTATGATTTAGCAAAAGATACTTTATGTGGAAAAAGTTTTACTGGTGTTGTTGATTCCTTACAATCACATATAAGAACATCATTTACTAATTTTGTCTGCTATATTTTAAAATATGTTGTTGATGATTATGGTTTAGAATCTTTAACAAAATTATCAATTAGAGATAATGATTATAGTAAATTACTTGAATTAATTGATTATAAATCATTTTCTATTAATAATGATAACCAAACTACTCCTATCATGCAAAGAATTTTAACATTAAATGATCATTATTCGTGTATTCCTCAAACACCATTATTTCATGTATTTCAACAACGTATTAAAATTTTAGCAGATGAAATCAAATCGAAATTAGTTAATCAACAAAATCAATTTAAAGGTATGATATTTTAGTTTTCTTTTCTAATATACATTATACTTAATCTGTGTCATTGAGCATGTCATTTCTATCAGTTTCGAATGAACCATAAAGCACAGTTTACAGAAAGCACATTGATGTTTTCAACATAGCGTTTCACAAGATTACGTTAGAGAATAGAGATTTTCATCAAGTGAAGTTGAAATAATTTTACTATAAAATCACATTATATACCAATCGGTCAATCACATGATTTCTCAATAAAAATAGATGGAAACAAATTTATCAAGTTACGTTTGATTGAATTTTGACTTTCACTATAAATACTCACTAGCGAAAGTCATTCTCTATTGATCTATACAACATTGATGTCTCTATAGTTTTTGTTCGAAAGCTAGTCACTCCTTCCACAATAGAGACTTACTTTTACTTACTATCTTGAGAAATAAGAACTTTAATCCGTATGTTGACGTTAAACTATCCTTCATATTCATATTTTTAAAATGACAATCTTAAACGATTGATTTTAGAATCATTGTTGAACTGTTAAACGCTTGGAAATAACAGGTGACTAGTGATTACATTCTGTCAGAAAGAGGTTTAGGAAACTCAGTTATTTGACAGTTTTTATTTTTCTCTTTGAAAAAGATCTAAAACTACGACAGCAAATTTTTGTAGGATTTCCAAAAAGCAGGATATTTTTGTATGATACTTATCACGAGAATATCTTACGAAATATGACAACCCCTCACATCGTTGAAAAGCAATTCTCTTCATAGCTAATTCTTACTAAATATTGACGTTAATTAATCGTAGTTGATGATTTTTCACAAATCTTCATCTAATAAACCATTAATGAAATTTTTCTATTGAATAGTATTGATAGAGATTTAAGGTGGCTATCGAAAGTGATATATAATATATTCCAGCCTATCATACATTCTGTAATCAATTGTAAATTAACTTTAGTTATCATCCGCCTTTCATAATAACATCAACCCAACAAATCTATATCATTATTTCCATCTTTTCATCCTCATGTAGTATTTTCTAAACTCACTGTTTACTTACATAGAACTATTTTCAATTATCTTTCTTCATTACTTGAACGCCTTTCTTTTGTCAATATGTAGAAAAAGAAAATGACTTACGTATGGATTATTATGATCTGCAAGAACCTGCACAACCACCGATAACAACATTTGATAATTTCTTTGATGGCAACAATGATACAGACAATGTACAAGAACAATGTCGTAATCAGTTTGTTCGATCGATTACGAACGATAAAATCTTAATGAAAATTATTTCACCATCAATTCTTCAATCATATACTAATGATTCGATTCGAGTACTTTGTACGATTATTGAAAAAAATTTTCATGATAATCAAATCCAATGTCAAAAAGCAATTGATTTTATTTCTCGTTGGTTAATATTAATTGATGAAGATGAAAAAACATCATTTAATTCCGCACCTGATCGTAATGTATGGCAACTTGCTCATGTTTATACATTACTTGAATACGATCAAAATGATCTACTTTCATTATATTCTGCTTGTCGAATAACAGAAAATCTTGATCGTAATCAATCATTCTATGATGATCTTTTATTAGATAAACAAATTTCACGTTCAAAAGTTCGAGAAGATTTATTTAAATTAATGTTTCATTGTTTATGGACTAATCTTTGTGATATATGTCAAAATAATACAGACGATGCTAAACAATGGATTCATAGTTATACATTAATATCAAAATATTATCCATCAGAAAGAGTTTTACAAAGATTAGTATTTGTTCATATGAAAGTTAAAATTGAATTTATGAATTTAGTTTATTTAATTTTATTGAATGAAAAAACACCACAACCAATTCAACTTATTCAACAATTATTAAATGATACATCACTTATACAAGATGATATTGATGGTCGTCATGTTCAAATCGAAGGATCAAGTTGTCTACAACTTTTATCTTCTATTATTCAAACAATTGATCAACATTTTCAAGCAAATAATGGTAATAATGGTACATTAATGATGGATATTCAACAATGGATAATTGCAACATTAAAGAGTTCGAAAGGATCATCTAATCAAGAAATTATTTCTATATTAAAATTTTTAAATCAAACTACATGTCATTTATTATTACCAATGAAACAATTTCTTTTTGATGAATTGATTAATATTTTAATTGAAAATAGTCGACAAAATCGTATTAATACTCAACGACAATTTAATGATTTTTGGGATCGTATTTCTCTATTGTCAGTAATTATGGATTGTATATTAGATGAAAATCTTGAAAATTATCAAATACCGTATCATCCATTTGTCATTAAAGATGTTAATCAAAATCATATAATAATTGATCTATTCTTTTTTCATCTTCGACGATTAATTACTGGTGAAAAAATTCGAGTAGATTTAATAAATAAAATTCTTCTCGCAACTTTACCAAGAATCAATAACATTCAACAAATTTCTCTTGCTGAAAAAGTATTCAAACAATTAAAAGAATATTTTATTTTACAGACTACAGCTTTATTATTATGTCAGCCAGATTTAGGTAATGAAAATCAACAAAGAATTAATGATATTCTTAGGACTGTTATTGATCAATATTTAATAATTCAAATGCCTGTGGTTGAACTTAGTAATTATGTTCAACATTTCTTGTCAATTATAATTACCAAACAATCATGGAATTATCTTATTGATCTTCTTAAGTCAGAACGTCTTCAACGTTTAAATTCTCGATGGGCTGATACGTTACATGATCTATTTGTGATTGAACATAACACTCAACGTAATAAATATTTATATTACAGTCATCAATTACAATTTACATTAACAAATGATCAAACGTCATCTATTTTTCCAGCATTATATCAACCCTATTATGAATTAACACAATTAATAGATCAATGTGTTCAAAATAATAATATTGAACAACGTTGGATACCTTTAACTAATTGGATACAATCGAAATTAAATTCAAATCCACCTATTGTTAATGCTATTGAAATAAAAGTAATGTTATTGTTAAATATTTATTATAATTATTATTGTAATGCTAAATTAAATTCTCTTGATCATTTATTGACTATTATTGAAAATACACTTCAGCCATGTGATGAAGAAAAACGAGTATTTCGTGCTCTTTTACAACCTGAACAACATATGATTGGATATCCAAAAGAAAATAATCCTCAACATACAAATTATCTCAATGATCTATTTAAAGTTGATTATCAAAATGCAGATCAATTACCTATTCGTCATACACTTGTTAATCTTTTAGCAATGATTTTACTCAGTGGAAAAGAAGAGACTCTTTGGACATTTACATTTGAACCATTGAAACTTGAGAATACTTATGGTGAGTTTTTATTAATAGAAAAATATCAATATTTTATAAAGCATATCTTGAATTCAATGGTAGGTTTTGCATCAACTGCAACTAGACCTATTGAGCGTAATGGCGTTCATTATGACTGCGGATGTATATTATCTCCAACTGGAGAATTAGAACAACGTTTTGGGGGAAATGGATTCAGTATTCCAGCTGTTTATATTGCTTTTTTTGCTACCTTTGGTGCTATGGTAAGTTAAATGAACGATAATATCCGTTTTCAAGTATTGAATCTTTATCTTTTGAATACCTAGGCTTGGCATTTATTATTATTTGAGCCATCTGTAGAAAATCTTTGTCATCCTATTCTTGCTAAACATGCCGTTGAACGTACAGCAGTAGACGCCGGTATGCATAATCAAAATCTTAGACAGCAAGTGTGTTTTTTTGTATGTACTCGATTGTTATCATCAAATTTCTTTCTCTCACAAAAATCTAATCAAGATGATACCTGTATTTTATTTAATCGTTGTTTTGAATTACTTGCTCAACATAGTCGTCAACTAGATCAAAATCCATGGATTAAACCATTTTATGGGACAAATAATGACAAACTTCAAGCTGAAAATGAATTTCAAAACAAAATTTTCTATCCTACACATCAAAAATTAGCCGATTATAAAAAAATAATTGGTACTATACAATCACAATCAGAACAACAGACGAAATTACAAAATTACATATCTGAAATGCCAATTATAATTGAAATGATTCATTTTAAGACAGAATTATGCAATCCAGAAACAACACGATTACCTTTAACAATTTTAAGACGATTACTTGATTCATTTGATTTTCTTCAAATGACTCGATATATTTTTGCATTAAGTCAATTTCATATCCTCTTACATCGCACTTTTACTCAATTAATTGAACGAGAAGAATTTCATGCAATTACATTACAACAACTGTACGAACGAGCTTCTCAGTCTTCAAGTCGTTTACGTCAACAAAATGAAGAAAATAAATATAAAACAATTATTGAAAATGGAATCGAAGCTGTTAATGCTTATCATGCATTTTCTGGTGGACAAATTCAACCAGGTGCTTGTGATCTTACTCAACGTTTTGAAACTATTTCAATGGAAACACCCGTCAGCTATCTTGTTGAAACAGATAATTATGATGAAGGAGATATTGTTATGCGTATACTAAGGTAAGTTTCATAAAATTCTTTTTCTTTTCATCTGAACGAATTGATTAATTAATTAACATTTGAACTGTGTAAAATACTATCGTTAATGAAGTCACTTATATTGAGATATCGATTGAAATAGTGTCAGAATATGAAGAGAAACATGAATTGTACTAATATTCACATTAGTTGTAATTATGCAATTGCAATAATTTTTAAGTATTTTGCACTATAGTAGAAGTGAAAATTGTAACATAGAATTCTAGAAATTCTCAAATTCTACAGTCGAAATAAGATTTTCAAAATTATAGGTCAATACTAAAGTTTTCTCTTAAATATTCCATAAATGGGCTATTTTGAAAGCATAATATTGGTTTCGTAAACGTATTAATAATATCTATGTTGCTACAAATATATAACAGGAAAAACAGGTTCAAAACTACTTCAAATCATCATTTTGAGTTCAGGTGTAGTCTTATATAACAAGTGACGCTTGTCAGTAGACTCGTTCAGCTCTTTCTCGTAGAAGTGTCGTTTCTGGACGGTCCCCAAATGATTCACTTATCAACATAAGTAATAGTAGCTAGCTTCAGATTGAAATTCTTGTTTTAAATTTCCTCAAGTGAATTTTTTTTTCTAAACTATGATGACATTAGTATGTTTTACTAGTCCTTAGCATTGGTAGCTTATTAGCATAAACTTATCATATATTCTCATTTTATATTTCAAAAAATCTTCGATGAAGTTTTCTAGAACAAACACGAATAATAGCAGTACTTGATAAAAAATCAAAAGAGACTTTGGATTCAAGCTCTAACCCTTAATTTTTCCTTTCGAGTATCGTAAAAAATATTTATGATTAATAATTAAAGTAGACTCAAGATTTTGGTTCTCTACTCTCGATCACCTCCGGTCAAGTTTTGTCGAAAACATAAATAACTAATAATCAAGTAATAATACGTTAATAATTAAAATCGACCTCTGATTCGTATTCTTCACCCTCGATTACCTTCAGCCAATATTTGAGAAATAATTAAGAATCGATTAATTATTAATTAAAATTATACTCAGATTTGAATTCCTCACCCTTAATTAACTTGGACAAGTTTTTTAAACATACTAATAATTAATAATAAAAAATTAATTAAAACTAACCTCAGATTTGAACTACCTACCCTCGATTACACTATGGTCAAGTTTTACGGAAAATAATCCCTTTTATCTTCACTTTGTTTTGGAACCAATTACTGAAGTACGGACATAAAAGCAAGCAAGCAAACAATTTAATCTTGCTAGACTCTTCTCTACAAGAAAGAGAATTAATTAACTGTTAGATTATACTGATATTTCATTGATTCATTTTAGTGTTCTCGTCAACTTCCATAATAATCTTCTTGAGTTACTTCGACGAGAATTATCCGAACATGGTGATACTCTTGGTTTAGGTCTGTTGAAAGATGTTGTTCTTGAATTGTGCGAAAGAGAAATATCTGTTGTACAAATCTTTCAAGAAAATATGGGTGTTATTCGATTGATTAAAACTGATTGTCAATGGATTGAACAATTATCTCGTGCAAGTCTTGAAAATCAAAACAATTATTTTCTAAAATTGAATACACCATTAGAATTTAATTTTCTCTATGTTCAATCATATCTTATTCGAATGTATTTACTGTATTCTCGTATTAATTATCAACATATCAAAGGAAAATATCAATGTTATATTCGACGAAAATTACCAATTACTACCAATGATCTTCAGATCAATGATGATAATAATAATATAGATATGAATTCTGATATTCTGTCAGACGATGAATGGAGTCATTTTGAACAAAAGAGTCTTGATCAGCTTCAGAATGAATTAAATTTTCTTCAACGAACTATGAATGTTCTTAAAGATTCGAGTGAAAATTATTCATCAATGAAACTTTCAGAATTTGTTCAAAATACAAATTATGATCATCAATTGGCACATCAGTTTGAACAATATCAAATTAAAGATTTTACTTTATCACAAATAAAAAATGTCTATCAATTATATGAACAATCAATCCGTCAAGTTCAACATGCATATATCAATGTATCACATTTAATTCGTGTTCTTCTAGATAAAAACCTTAACGATGAACTTGATCATATATTAAAATTATCTTTCATCCATTCGAATGATCAAACTACGAAAGAAGAATTTCAAGCTAAAATACGCGTGTTAACAGAATTTTTAAATGATCTAAAAGATGTAGAATGTCAGATGGAAGGTCAATGGGCGAAATCATTTACAGAAACATGCAAAATTTTATGTATTGAAAGTCCCCTTATGGAACTCATACCTAAAGAAATAAAATGTGAAAACTATGTTCCCTTATGTCTGAAATTCATTGAAATACGATCTCAATTACAAGAACGAATGATTAATATTGAAGAAAAAACTATTAATCTCTGGAATGCTCATTTAGATATTCCCAATACAGATCAACCGAAAGAAAATAGTTTTAATGTATTTCGAAATAAGGATGATGATTTCCTATCATTTAATACAACACTGATTTCTACAACAGATCTAGAACCTTCCAATACTCCAGAACCACCTACGACTACTACAACGACAGGTATTTTTGATTGGTGGACGATAATTGATATTCCAGGCGTTCCTGGGCCATCGAAACTTCTAGCTATACCGACACCAGCAGTCAATGAGAGTACAATCAATTATACAGCTCTATTTAAATTAAAAATAATATCGATTTTATTAACACCATCAGTCCTATTTAAAAATTGTCAAACACAATTAGAAAAATTAGCATCAAAAACAGTTAATTCACGTTTTTGTATTACATTTAAAGATGGTAAACAAGCAAAATACCATTGTAAGCCAGAAAAATTGTATACACAATTGAAAAAAATCTTTGATGAGAAAAAATATAATTTAAATACAGTTTGTATTATTGATTCCAATCATATATTGGTTGACTTTGTGAAAACAGATGTCAACAATTCATTACCTATTATAGAGACAGAATATTATATTAAAGAAAAAGCATTACTAATTTCTATTATAATAGAATATAATAATAGTCATTTCGAATATTTTGCTGCAGCTGAAACAACAATTACTTCGATTCTTACGCGTTTTATTCTTGATCAGCAATTGAAATTTACACTACCAGAAACTTATTTTAGTGTATTTGACTCACTTGGACGATATATTGCTGAAGATGGTCAACTGAATACACTTTATCGAGCCGATGAACAAAGTCCAATTTACATTCGAATTTTTCAATGTAGTCAAGATAAAAATATTTGCTATAAAATAACTATAGTAGAAGGTCAAGGTATGCTTTTCATTTAGATCACATCAGTTGAAATTCTCATCTTTTCTTATTTATTACTTCTCCTTTTCAGATGAAACACATCATCAACATTTTAATCCAACTACAACTTGGCAACAAATTAGTTTATGGACGAAAATTCTCAATAACAAGACCGAAACACCAGTTGATAAATATTATTTCTGGAATACAGAACAAAAGCATATTATTAATGAAGATGAAGCAATATCATTTACAGTTGGTCAAGTTGAATCGATTATTGTTGATGTACTCAATGGAGAAAGTGTTATAGATATAAATCTTTCTTATGATAAAAATATTCAAACAATACATCTTCTTAATTCATGTCCAGTATCGAGTCTTCTAAATAATCCAAAATATCTTCAACAATTAGATTTAAAAATATCATCTCAAGATTGTACTTTAGTTTTCATATTAAATGATTCTGAAAAACAAATTCTTGAAAATTTCGATATGGAAAATCCAATTAGTCATTATGCATCAATGACTGATAAAATTGTTCATTTTCAAATATGTATTCTTATTCAAATAATTGAATATGATAATCAAAAAGAAATACCTATTCCTATTTCTCATCGAAATATAACAATAAAAGAGTTATTTGGAATGATTGAAATCAATGATACTGATTATAAATATCTAGCATCTTATGAAACAAAATTTATCTTATCCAATGATATAACATTATCCACAATAAATGAAACGAAATTTTTCCTTGCAAAAGAAAATCAAACATGTGTCGTATCTATTCAACAAGCTGATGATGTCCTAATTGCAGTTGATGATGAAAGTATGCAAAATCAACGATATCTTATCAATGCTACTATGAATGATGTCTATAAACAAAATAAAACTATTGAACAAGATCAATATCTTCTTTATGGTTCTGATTTCATTCCATCACGTGAAATGCCACTGAATTTATTTTTATCTAGTACAATTTCTTTAATTGAATTTAAGTTAATCTTCCATAAATTACAAGCAAATGTTACTGTAATTTGTGATGAACAGGAAAGTTCAATTGTATTTCAATGTGAACCAAAGATGACGATTGGTCGTGTTCAAGAAATAGCATGTCATTTATGGAAACTAAACAAACAGTTATATTGTGTAACACTTTCAGATGATTCGAGAATTGATGATGATGAAGAATCATTAAGTGCGACTGGTGAATCCCTCGATAATCTACAATTGAAATTAATTTCAATAGCTGATCTTAAATGTGAGATAAATTATCAAAATAGAGTCATCACCATTTCAACCATTAATGGAACATGTTTATCATTGATTATGAAAGAAACTTTGGAAAAATTCCTGATTTCATTAGATGATATTGAAATGTATGAATTAAAAATATTGGATGATCCAGAATGTCCAACAACTGTCGATCTTGATTCATCTATTGATGAAATTTTTCTTGACGACTTTCGAATTAAATCCGAAACAGTACCATTTCTGTTAGTAAAGAAAAGTACTGAAGATTAAAATGACAGTATTTTGACTTTTTATGATTTTCAATGACTATTTTATTGATTATTTTCATAAATAAAGATTGAATTTTTTATTTTCATTAAGAAGTACGATAGATTATTTCTAAAAATCAATTTAATAATACTTTTCTTTTTATATTCTTTACGAAAAAGAAAAGATTGCTTTCGCAAAGTGAAAACTCTGAAAAAGACTTATTGAATCTATTTTATTCGGGCAGAAGTATCTGACTCATTTATAAAATCATTTGTAACTATAGAAAATTTTGATCGTGCATATCACTGTCAGTGTGAGGGGTGTGGGTGGGTGTGGCTGTGGGTGTGGGTGGGTGTGGATGTGTGGGTGTGTGGGTATGGGTGTGGGCGTGTAGGTGTGGGTGGGTATGGGTGTGGGGTGTGGGTGTGGATGTGGCTGGGTGCGGGTATGGGTGTGGGTGCGGGTTTGGATGTTGGTGATCTAATGAAAACCCACATCCACACACCACACACCACACCCACACCCAATAAAATAAGTTCATTTACGGATTTTTTGCAACAATTAATAACTTTCTTTTTAATTTTAGATATTCGTGCTGTGTGTTGTGATCGTGTGGTAATGTATGTTGTGATGTAGGGTAGTATTGTGGTGTATGTTGATGAGAGATAGCATGCTATATATGAGGTTATTATTTATTATATGCTATGATGAAATGCTTAAAAATAATATGAACCAAACATTATCACAAACAGGTATGTGAATTTAGTTACATCGAAAAACAATTATGGGGTGTTGGTGTGGATATGATTAGAAGACCGACAAGTACACCCACCCCACACTCACACCCTTTATAATGTCATCAGTATTTTGTCGACGAATGATGGTTATTGAGAAATCATTTTGAGAACCATCTTCCAATGATGCTCGTTTATCTAAAAATCGCTGAATGCTATAATATGAAGCAATGCCTTGTTCATCAGCAGAAATCAATTTATAATAGCTTTGTGTACCAGTTACATCTAATACAAAACAAACTTTTATGCATGAGCGAATAAAAGCATTATGTATGAGAAAACAGAGGCATTGAAAAATTTCATTTAAGATATGCCATAAAAGATCTTGCTATTAGAATAGACCAACACGAGAAATAAACCCAATCAACATGAAATTGAAGAGCATTATTACGAAAACTTTTTCAGTACTCTATGATTTTATTCAGGCATAAAGATGACTGATTTTTATCATTGAATAAAATTTTATTGTTCATATTACTATTTTTTGGTCATGTTGTATTTTTCCTCGATAGAAAACACACAATATTTACATTTGGGTTGATTATAGAAAAACTGTATATTTTACTTTTCTTTTATAAAAGACAAAAAACTGAACTATTTAAAAAATAAACAAAGAATATACAATCGAATACAGACATATCTGTCTTAATGGCTATGATTAACAAGAAATCGTACTATAATAAATGAATTTATATATATAATATAGTGGCGAACAAAAGTTTAGAGATAGTAGTATTTTTTGAGTTTAATTCTTGATAGTAATAACTAGAGAGTATCTGAAAAGACCTTGTTTGAGTGAGAATGTCTGGAATAAAAAAACATCTAAAACCAGTTTTTCGTCTTTCATTCGAAGATTTTAGGAAAAAATTCTGTTTGATAGAGCCAATCATTCAAAATGAGACGTCTGTGAACTTTCCATAACCTTGTGTTATCAAACAACATTCTATTTACAGAAACCTCAATGAGAAATTTTCTCTCGTTTTTATTGAAAATTTCACGGTTGCCATTATAGTTAACGCTTTAGGCTTCGTGTAAATCGAATGCAGTTTAATGAAGAAAGATTATGCAGAGATTGGGAGGGTGGTGTGGGTGTGGGTGTGGGTGTGGGTGGGTGAGGGTGGGGGTGTGGGTGTAGCAAAGCAAAACTCTTTCACTCAGATACGCACACAGACCCACATCGGTACCAGCGCCGACACCCACACCGGCGCTCAGACCCACACCCACACCCACACCCACACCCACACCCACACCCACACTTACACCCACACCCACACTTACACCCGCACCCACACCCCACACCCACACCGACACCCCACACCCACACCCCACACCCCTCAATGTCAATAGAAAGTGAGGCCAAAAAAACAACGATAATAATCCTCTAGTACTAGCACAGCACATAATTCATCCTCAAGATAGTTTTCTTCTGTGTAGAGTATAAGTAACTCTTTGCTGGGCTATCTTCAATTTCTAAGGCTTGTTCGCTGTGCGTCCTGCAGAGGAATAGAAAAAAGGTAGTAATAAACGCTCGGTAAACACACGCCAATGAGAGAACATGTGCGACAGCACAAAAATATCGTACAGAAAAGAAGAGGTAGAAACAAGGCATGTATATTTGTCTTCTTCTAGAGGCGCCATACTGGATAGATAGCGGCTAGAGCAAGATAAAAATACTTACTAACCTCGATAAAATATCTACCCTAGCAACTTTATTTAAAAGAGCAAAACAGGGTAAGAGTGAGGGTGAGTCTGTGATGATAAAAATGATAGAAGAGAAGATAGTGTAGATGCAGATACATATTATCCTATTCCTTCCTATTATATAATCGTATCGTTTACATGTAAAGCATACGCTTATAGACACGAGCAGAATAAGAGATGAGATCAATGAGAGAGCAGACATAGAAGAAGAATAGAGTAAGGAGAGCAGTGTAAGAATAGACAGGTGAGGACAATATATATAATATACAAGTGGATGACAATACAAAATGAGAAGCTGATTACGACAGAAAGAGAATAAGGCTCAATCATACATAGATAAACGTAACAGTAACGTGATTACGGACGCCACGCAACATACTAAGAGAGAAAAGATATCACATAAGACGATATGCCCATTGGCACAGAGTCTAGCTGCCGTAATCATGATTTCGTCCCTGCTAAAGGACTCTTCAGACGGTTTTAACTAATGAATCTGTGCAGATGATCCCGTAGATCACAAATAAAGCGTTACACCTATTCCGTATACAATTCTGTAGTTGCAATTTTTGAAATTATTGTATCGTAAATTAGCTAAATATTTATCTGTTTCAAATCGTCAGATCGTGAGCGTCATAGGATGCGTTACGATTCTTCTCTATAGAGGTATCATCGGAGCGTAAATATGGTCCATATAGTAAATGTTGAAGTTCTACGTTGTTCTCGTTTTATTATTTTTTTTTTCATGTTTCAGTTATATTTATTTATACTATGAAGAGTTATTTTGACTGTTTGAGTTTTGAGTAAAATGAAAATAGAGACATACATGTATTAGCAGCGGCTCAGCCGGATGTTAGCGAAATGAAATTGATTAAAAGTGCAAAATTCTGAAACTCATAAGATAACTCCAAACAACAATTGCGTTGAACTCAGAACAGTTTAATAAAACGCCATGAGTTTTCCACAAAGAGAATCTAGAACAAAAAATCGAAAAAAAAACGGTAAGACATTACTAACAATCATTTCAATTGATGGAACTCAAGGATTAGTGCTAAACCTCGTCTAACAAAGGATTGAGAAGTAAACTACGAGTCGATATGCGAAGACTATTACATTTAGATTTCTCAAATTCTATCCTGAGTCCAGCTTTTGCAAGCTCGGTTGACGATCAATTGAACATACGAATTGAAGTCAAATCATCAAGGAAATATTTGGGAAAATCGAAAAGTAAATCGAGCAAGCAACGACTGTGGCCTAAAGAAAAAAAATGCGACGAAAAACTACTCATCTCAAGATCAAATCTCTCCTTCTCCTGTCTACCAATTGTCTTGTATAAGGATATGTTAACTAGAGACTGAAGCAGTTGATTCCTCCTTTGTGAAAAAGCTTGGTAGCTTCGGAAGACGCACAGATCTTGTGAATTCTATGCAATCCTATAGGAGTCGTTATCTTACTCACGGCTCTCTACTCACCCCACCCAAACTTGCACCCACACCCCAAAATATTACGACACAAATCAAGCCAATAATAAAAATTGATTTATTCAATCTATTTGTATGTAATTAAGTGTTCAGCATAGGCTTGAGCATCATGATAAATAACGAAAGCAGAACCTGACGAAGTGGAATCAAATCCAGGAGGTGGGGTTTTCATAGAAGAATTACCGCCAGTAGTTTTTCCTACTAAAACACGAGCTATGAACATGCAACGTTCTCCATTTGCATTCGGTCTAGTATATCCATGACTATAAGTTGCCTCCGATGAAAAATAAACACCGGCACCCAATGCAATACCTATGTGGAACGAATAAAGATAATGAAAATAAATAGTTACCAAAACAGATTCATCTTACCGTTGATACCGGCATAACTTCTGTTGAAACAACTTTCGCTAATTGAATGGGCTGCTAACTCTGGACATCCATGATATAATCGTTGCTCGGTATCGGCATGAAGACGATTTTGAAAATCTCGACTATGAGCTAAATATTGCATGTACCATCGTTCATTTTGAACTCGTTGTATATGTACGATTTGATTGTAATGTCCTCTCATGGCTTGATCAAATTTGTTCAATATGGATTTATATTCATCAGATGTAGGAGGTACCATATAAAGCTTTTGATTTCCCATTATTTCTACCCACGTTGAGGGTAGTGGGAACACATCAGGTGAAATGATTGGTTCTGCAATAATAATGGTGACTCATTAATACCAGTATATGTAAAATGGATTAGCTTACTAGGGAACATTTCCAGGTCTCGGAGCGCTTTTAAGTCGAGGTTTCGCGCATCTTATAGCTCTTAGTGAGCTGTGTCTATGGTTAAAAAAGTTCGGGTTTCTGGCTTGTTTCTGAGAAGATATTGAGCTCCTAGTGAATTTTCTCTATAGTATGCCTACATTGATAGTAAAGCTATACTTTCAAATTCTGACCTGAAACTTTTCCTGCATAAAGGTCTCAGCTAGACTAGCTTTCATACAAAATTTCAAAAGTTTTGAATTAAGTCTCTGTAAGATATGAAACTGCTAAGGTACAGTCTCTTTTCATAAATAATACATAGAGTATGCATTTTTTCAAAGCTTCGTATCTTGAATCGACTTAATTCAAAACTTCTGAAATTTTGTATGAAAGCTAGTCTAGCTGAGACCTTTATGCAGGCAAAGTTTCAGGTAGGAATTTGAAAGTATAGCTTTGCTATCAATGTAGGCATACTATAGAGAAAATTCACTAGGAGCTCGATATCTCCTCAGAAACAAGCCAGAAATCCGAACTTTTTTAACCATAGACACAGCTCACTAAGAGCTATAAGATGCGCGAAATCTCGACTTAAAAGCGCTCCGAGACCTGGAAATGTTCCCTAGTTAGTTCAATAAAAACTAAACATTCTTTTCGGATTAAATAAAAGAACTTTGACATTTTCTCTATGATTGAGTAAATTGTAAAAAGAAATCACCAAGATGACTTTCTTTAGTACTATTCCGTGTGCTCTTTTTTTCCAGAGATGAGGGGAGGAAAATATAAAATATGTTTCAATTAAAAACTTGACCATCTGATACAATAGTGAAGATGCTTTTCGTAACGTATGAAATAGAAGTGAGCGTTACCTGGCTGTTGTACTGTTAATATTTGTTTGCAAAACTCATCATAGATATTTGACTGCTCGGGTTGAACAATAAATTTGATTGTCCAAGGCATATCTATTTTTATTAATTGATTTTTCATTTCTTTCACTATCATCTTAATAATAATATCAATTGGGCAATTGAAATTTTCGTATCCAATGGTTGGAAACGCAATTGAAGTGAAACCATAGGGAATAACATTTTGAAACACTGACCATATTAAATCAATAGTTGATTTTTGAAGTGTCGCTTCATCATCAATTGGCAACCATTTAAGGAAAAATAGAGTGTTACATTGTAAATCACCTGGTGGTGTTATAATAATTGCAGACGTTGGATTACTGGAATTTTCAATATTGAATACTGTTTCAATCTCACAGCCTGCTAGCTTCATAAATAATTGTTTGATGGATTCTGTCGAGAAATTTCCAATTATCACATCGATCTATTAGATGAAGTCTATGAGAAAAGAAAATTTGATCTATTTTCTCACCTTCAATTTCGCTATATCAAATGTTTCAACTTCAATTAGTCCTTTACCAGCGGTAGTAGACACTGATTTAACTTTTTCTGGCAGTTTTAATGGCTTAAATAGATGAATATGTATTAGAATTTTCTTTTTAAATGTTAATATAAAATTCATTTTTTAATTCGTGATAATGCCGATCAATCATTTACGTCAAACATTAATATTGCAATTTAATCCGAAAGTATGTCTGAAGAATATGAGATCCTTATAAGACATATGGGAACTCTTCAGCAAGACTAAATATTCTCTTATTGTGATTGATTTCTTTTTCAAAATCTTCATACACTATCCTGTTCGAACCAATATCCGAGCTGGACTGGGTCTGATAAAAAAAAGAAACCTGACGTCATGTCAAGTCGCGGCACAAAAAATTGATCTACATCAGATACTGGGTCGAGCGTCCACTAGACAAAGGTACTCTTTCGATTATGCAAATGTGCACAAAGATTTTGTGAAGTAATTCAAGCACAACTTAAAAGAAGGGTGTCTATGCAAACTCAGTTAAACGATATTTTTTAACTTACGTCCATCGATTGCAGATTGATATAGAATAATATTATATTAGATGAATGTTCAAAGATTATCTAAATAATCAGGAGAAAACAAGCATGAAAGAAAAAAATATTTCCTGCAAATAATCAACTTTAAAGGACACGTATTTTTTTCATTTTCAACATGTCTATAAAAATCTTCAAAATTAAGGTAATAAAATTGATTCATTTCTCAAAAGAATATATTCTTTGCTTGAGGCGAGCACCAACTATTTGTTTATGGTGTCGACTATACGAAAATTGATATGGCCATATTTGTCAAAGATTTCATTCTGTTTAATATTAACATATTTGCTTAGGTAGATAAAATAAAGAATGAATAATAATAAAATTACTTTTTCAACACTGTTATGACTCATTTATTGCATTTCCGTGGGTGTACAGTGTGAGTATGGGTCTGCTTGTGGATTAGGGTATGGTTGCAGATAAGGTTGTGAGAGAATGTGGATGTGGGAATTTGGTGTGTTGGCGAAAATGGTGGTGGTGTGTGATTAGTTGTGAGTATTAATCCTTCAATATGAGTGTGGGTGTGGGTGTGGGGTGTGGATGTGGGTGTGATGTGTGGGTGTGGGTGTGGGTGTGTGGTGGGGTGTGGGGTGTGGGTGTGGGTGAGGGTGAGGGTGACTGGGTGTGGTGTGGGTGTGGAGCGTGGGTGTGGGTGGGGTGAGGGTGGCTGGGTGTGGTGTGGGTAAGGGTGTGGGTGTGGAGCGTGGGTGTGGGTTGCTGGTGTGTGGGTGGGGTGTGGGTGTGGAGCGTGGGTGTGGGTGTGGGTGAGGGTGTCGCGGTGGGTGTGGGCGTGGGTGGGTGGGTGTGGGTGT